GTTACCAACTTAGAATAGGAGCCTATATTTCTTGCATTACTGTTTAATAATGCCTCTTAGTACACCTTAATTCCCAGCCACATCATTACGGAAATATTGTGCATCTGCAGAAAAGAGCCGCTCTCATAGCAGAGAGGTATAGGCTGAGAGACATAGAATCCCACTGGTGGTTGAAGTTCTGAACTGTGCCACGCTGGTGCAGAGCCGCCAGGACCCAACCGTCTCAGGTGCATTATGTTTTTCATGTGCACCCATTTCTTTAGCAAAATCCAAGTTAATGATTCTAATTGGAATCTGTAGGGTGCATTATAAAGAAATAATTTACGCACTAGCGGTATTTACAACTAAGTGCCTTATCAATAAGGCTATACAAGCAAGTTAAAGTAAATTGAAAAGAGGTGGCTCGGTAGGCTCAATTTAACAAAAAAAAAAAAAGACTACCTACCTGCAACTACGAACAATTCGTGTGTGGGTTTGGTTAAGCCAATCGCCAATATATTTTCTCATATCGTAGTCTGTACCATCTTTAAAAACTGTTCGACATGCTTCTGCAAGTGCAAAAAAACATTAAATAATCAAGTATATGAAAAACAGACATATATCCATATGTAATGAAATAACGTGCCTTTAGAGATAACCTCTCACTTTAGAAATATATTCAATTTAGGATTAAATACCAATATTCCAAATGTCAACAAATAAGAACTGTATTTCATAGGTCTTTTGCATTCTGAAAATTATCTATCTTTAATACTAAAAAAAATCAACTATTAAGAATCTGAAAACACTTCAATGTAATGTTGCACTAAGATAACTGCTCACTTAAATTCATGTACACATCAGTGACGTATTCCAATAAATCATACAACTCATAAGGTTTTAAATATACATGTACAAGTATGTGGTTTGTACAGTGCCACAAATTTCACTTTACCTAAAAACCATGTAACTGTTGAAGATTATGAACACATAAAGTTTGACTCACCAAGAACTGAATTGCATATCTGGGTACCAGCAAAGGCCCTTCTTTCAGCATGTTTAGTCGAGGTTCTGGAAAGATTATAGACTTCAGCAACTTTACAAGCGAGTACTTTACAAGCTTAGACAACAAGGAAAAAACATGTCTGTAATTAAAGAGATATTTTGCAAAGGCACAACACCATATCATTGTGTAAAGAAGATTGTATTGTTATTACATCTTTTGCACTATAAATGAATCCCCAATTGGACCAATTACTGTGTTAAAGAGGCACATTGAGTCTAACTGTAGCCAAACTAAAGGGATACACCTCAGCTTAAGAGCTTACCAGTTTATTTTTCAGAGATTTGCTTGTTTTCAAAGCATCTTCCAATTTTTCAAAGTCGTCCAAAGACTTCAGGGCCAGAAGACTAAAAATGGATGTGTCATCTTCTTCTGCTACTGGTACATGTATTCGTGCTATGGCTTCCAATTTTTCCTCTATTTTTTCAAGTCTTCCAGATATGTCTGCCATCCACTGCAGAACAGCTGCCCATTTTCTATCCTCTCTTGCTGGAGCTAGAAAGAAAAAAGAGCGGAATCAGTAAGATTCCGACATATTACCGAGAGCAACTTTATATGCCCTGTTGTAATTATTGCGCACTCTCCAATTGACCATTATTATTATTATTATGATATTTATATAGCGCCGTCAAATTCCACAGCGCTTTAACATGGGTGGACGAACAGATATGTAGTTGTAACCAGACAAGTTGGACACACAGGAACAGAGGGGTTGAGGGCCCTGCTCAATGAGCTTACATGCTGGAGGGAGTGGGGTAAAGTGACACAAAAAGGTAAGAATAGTATTAGACTAGTGACAGTTGCAGAAGAGGAATCAGTCAGGAGCTATTAACAGTTTAATTGATACGCTTTTATGAAGAAATCGGTTTTTTGAAGGAGTGGAGACTGGGTGAGCATCTAACGGAGGAGGAAAGTGAGTTCCACAGGAACGGTGCAGCCCTCGAGAAATCTTGAAGGCGGGCATCAGAGGTGGGAGTACGGACAGAAGATAGACGTAAGTCTTCCGCAGATCGTAAGGGCCTATACGGGACATCCTTGTATATAAGGGAGGATAGATTGGTGGGAGCAGCATTATTTAGCGATTTGAAAGCAAGAACCAGAATTTTAAATTGAGCTCTATATTTTATAGGAAGCCAATGTAGGGAATTTCCCAAAACACCATAAAATCTATACATGGGGGGTACAGTTTTACACGTGAGACATCGCTGAATACAAATATGTGTATTTTATTGCAGTAAAAGCAAACAGTATTATGACATTCACTGTTAAAATGTCATGCAGAACTAATAAAAATAACAAAATGTCTTAATTTCTCAAATTTTTTTGCATTTTGTTCATGTTAAAGGACAACCCTGTTTCCTCTGAATAAAATTATATACAATATGTGTGGGTGCACTTAATATGAAAGAGGTGAATTACAGTTGGACAGACATATAGTCAAATGCCAGGTTTTGTTTACGTTTTATTTTGATCAAAACGTGTACATTTTGCTCAGTCCTTAAGGGGTTAATGCTTTAAGGTAAATATTGCCGTTTTTATTAAAACGTCATTTGTTTTAGTGAGCTATTCCAGTTATTAATGTCATTAAATGTGAAATTTTTAGATACCAAGGGTTTGTTAGGTGTACACATAAAGTTAAAAAGAGTGAAAGTTTTAAAACAAGCATTTTATTTATGAAAGTAAAGGTGACTGCTTTGCAGCCAATTTAGTTATAGAGCTACTGAATGAGACAGTTTTCTCAGAAGGATTGCATGTTGCTTTAAGCCCCTGTTAAGCAAAATCTAGGCATATAAATGAGGAAAACTTAAATATTCCAAACTGTGCTACACCAATGTAGTATTATGTTTAGTTACTCCTTGATTTCTATCCTCCCTGAACTCTATATCAGAACTCATGGTTCCCACTCACCTCTCTTCCACAGCCTCCAAAGTGATTATAAAATGGCTGCCAGCACCATAGAAAGTAAAGCTTACACACAGCAATGAGATGGAATGTCAGCCCCTCACACTGACCTCTGTGGTGGGATGTACACATTGCACCCAACCTTTCAACCTGAAGAAAAACTTGTAGCAGACTTGCAGCAAATTTGCAAAGCAAGTTGATCTGGAGACTTGCAATGCAAACTTTAAGCAAATGTGCAACAAACTTGTGAAGCTTGGCAAGTCAAGCAATAGCATAGCAAGTCATTTTCAAACTTGCAGCTCACTGGATTGCTATCTGGGCTACTCCTAACCCAAGCTTACCCCTAATCCTAACCCTACCTTAACCCTAACCTTACTCCTAACCCAACCTTACCCCTAACCCTACACTTAGCCGAATTCCCTAATTTCGGAAGAACCGAATCAAAGTGCAGATGTCCCTAATTGCCAAAGTGCCGAATTTCGGAATGCCGAACCAAACCAAATTTATGGCCCATGCACATCCCTACTCTTTTTCTGTCATTTGCTCTCTGGGTCTTAGGGTTTAATGATTTTTATGACTTCTGATAACATGGGATCAAGTTTGACTACCCAATAAGTGTTTCTTTCATTTATACCTTCGTGATTTTTTTCTGTGACTAAAATATGGCTTTTACATTGTCAGATCCCTTTTTCCGCAGGCTGCCAATACACTTGCAGGTTTAAAAATGTCAAAGTTTAACATTTACCGTATCGGGAGCAAATGATTAACGAACATATTCTAAATCTGAAGGTAAATAGCAGACAAGGTCATTAATACTCTTTGGTTTTTGTTAGTTTATATATGCACATAGTATTCCTCTTATTCAAAACTGTTTGAGACTTGCATATGTCGTTATACGCTGACTTGAAAATGTTTATTAAAAAAAAAAATAATAATTTTTTAGATAAAAATATATTTACAAAAATAATTATATTGAAAGGTTAAGGATGTTTGGAACTGACAGTTCCAGAGTCAGAATTTGCCTGGAGCACCTGTCACTATTGGCCTACCTTGGAATGTTTCAACTTTCACACAGGTAATTGTTATTCTGAAATTAAAATTATATTCATCCCAGAAATTAAGGTGTTGTTTCTCAACTGGCATTTCCCATGTTTACCCATTAGTTGTTCTGAGTTGACTTCCCAATGACTTCCAACAACATCTGGACAGCTATGTTTGAACACATAGAATTATGGGTGGTACACACTACAGCCACACTATGGGTGAATGGCAAAGGTTGGACAGCATTAGTGTAGATCAGCAATGGTTTATCTTAGCACCCGAGATATTTCAAAACTAGATTAACCATAATGCTCAGCCTGTCATGGGATGGTCGAGCATCGTAGTATACGTAACTCTCACATCTGGAGTGTCAAGGTAACCCACCACTGGTGTAGATGAATGTCATTCTAGAAGATTTTCTCACTGGATTATTCTCCTCATACCATACATTTCACAATTCTAGGCATTAACTAACAATTTTCTACATACATGTTCACTTTGAGCTTTGCTAGCATTCCTACATAGCTTCTAGGCTATCATTTACTTAAGTAGTATTTATATTAAGTATATTCATTTTAACTCTGGAGGGAGACATCATAAAAAATATAATCCTAATTATCTTTAAACACCACCTTGAGTGGTGTTCTACAGTTTTCATCTTCGTGCTGAAGGCAATTTTCATATAATTCTATGTTATTTGATTCAACGTGGTGTTCTTTGAATAATATCCTCTATATAGTGGCATTTGTTCTGTTAACATTCTCTGGTTTGTAAATGAATCTATCTGAAGTCTATCTTTACAAAGCCTGAGGGGAAGAAATTACCTACAAGATGAAATAATATAAAATTCAGTTCACTAAAGCGCTAAAGTTTATCCAATTTATAAAATTACCTGTCCTAGATGAAATAATAGACGTCGATTTACACAATTAGATAATTAGAAACATAGAATGTGACGGCAGATAAGAACCATCCGGCCCATCTAGTCTGCACAATTTTCTAAATACTTTCTTTAGTCCATAGCCTTATCTTATAGTTAGGATAGCCTTATGCCTATCCCACGCATGCTTAAACTCCGTTACTGTGTTAACCTCTACCACTTCAGCTGGAAGGCTATTCCATGCATCCACTACCCTCTCAGTAAAGTAATACTTCCTGATATTATTTTTAAACCTTTGTCCCTCTAATTTAAGACTATGTCCTCTTGTTGTGGTAGTTTTTCTTCTTTTAAATATAGTCTCCTCCTTTACTGTGTTGATTCCCTTTATGTATTTAAATGTTTCTATCATATCCCCCCCTGTATAATCCGATGTATAATCCATATACCTGACACTGCTCAAAAAGGGCCCTAACTGATTGCTTTGAAATTAAATTAATTCCCTATATGGAACTTCAAATAAATGTAGCCAAAGTACCCTATAATGAGGTACATGTGAAAGTGGCGGTGCTTTTACTGGAAGCTGATGAAATTTATAACACAATATATAAAAAACAGAAATTAAACATTCACATGAGCAAGTACGTGCTTTCTATTTTGTAAGTTACCCAGTTGGTTCAAAAGTTGAATTCTACAGGAAAAGACTGCAAAACAACTAATTATTTATGTCATGAAATAACACAATAGATACTGGGCAAGGAAGTATAAATGATTGGTAATATATTCAAAAAGCAAATGATCACAAATATTATTTGAATTAGGTTGTCCGATTGTCACGTATTCAGCCGCTTATAAAAATGTGATTAATGGAATTTACTGTTCAGACAGGAAAAGTTGTGCCGAGCAACATTACTGTCCTGACAGGAAAAGTTGTGCAGAGCAGCAATCAAATCCACAGGACGGGTATTTAGGCACAGTTCTCATCCTGCTCAGTGCCCTGTCGTGGTTTCCCTTGTGGTTATCCGAGAGCGCGTTATTGATTCTGGTAATTCTGGTTATTTGACTTTGACATTGTTTTTGACTTCCCTGTTTTCTGGCATCCCTGACTCCTGGCTTTTCCTTATCGCTGTGTCTCTTTCTGTATCCCTTGACCTCGGCTATTCTTGACTATTTTTTGGTACGTTAGTCCGGCCATTCTAAGGTCCTTTATACGTTACCTATCAGTCCTCTGTGTTACACAATTCTACGTGCTGGATCATTCTCTAATCCTGACATAGATCTAGTAAGGGTTGTGTATTCAGAGTAACATAGCAACATTCTATAAACCCTAGTCTCTTAATTGTGTATGATATATAAATATGATTTCTCATTAATAGGTTCTCCCTTTGCTTCTAAGGGTGACTAGTGTGTAAATATACGTCTTTTTACACATGGAATAAGGTAGAGAAACAAAGTAAAAAAGCACAAAACTTTGACCTACCGTGATGAAAAAGTATCTACAAGCTAGCACCATGTAGTTTATTTGGTTCCCTGACAAAGATGTTTAATAAGCACTGGTTTAGTTAATTAAAGTTTTGAGTTTGCTCATTTTGTACCTGGTGTGTTTATTCATTAATATTGCAGATCACAAAAGAGATATGACAGAAAGATCCTTGGTCTGTACTATCATTTATCTTCACACATACTGCCTATAACATTTGTAATTACCTGCTCTGCCAAGTACAATATTCAAGCAAACCACTGCTTTTTAATGTAAATTACATGTTCCATTAACCATATCAGTGTGTTAAGACAGAGAACTGGTATACTATTAGTATAATAGTTACATTACATTCTAACATAATTCAAACCCATTCCACTTGTGTAAGTGCTTGTTTTCCTGATTATTCATTGTATATATTATTCATAAATTGGTTTGACAGCCTAAAGACATGAATGTACAATAGAATCCAAGATATTCTGTCACTAGATTCTATCTAGCATTGCCAATAGGAAAGCCGTCAAAGCCGGGACACTTTCTCCACGCATAGCAGCGGGCCCGCGATGAGCGAGAGTGTTGTTGACATTTGCGTGTGAACGGTGGCCATCTTGGACCTCGCGGGTATCGTGAGATTCACGGCAGCCATTTTTTCCTACTACTTTTACAGATCGGAAATCACCTGATCTGAACCTTTGGCATTGTTTTTTCTCAGGATTGCCTTCACTGTAAAACAGCCAAGATCAACTAGACCTCCACATACATATAATGGATGTTTAAACACTTCCTGTCAGTTTTTTACATTAAAGTAACAGTACCACTCCACTTGCTGGAGATGTTTCGCATGCAGAATCATTGATGAAACTGAGTGTATTGCAGAGTACCCTTCACAGGGGGACATTTATATTTACTGTACCTAGTGCACATATTGCACGTGGGTGCCCTCTGGGTATTTTTTTCATGGCACACCACCCGTCCTGCACCTTAGCACTGGTTTTCCTTTCTCAGAATTACCTCCACAGTAAATCAGCTCAGCTCAAACTGATCTCCACATGCATATATGGATGTTTAAACACTGCCTGTCAGATTTACATTAAAGCAACAGTACCACTCCACTTGCTGGATACGATTTGCATGCAGGAGTGTATTGCAGAGTACCCTTCACAGGGATATATATATATATTTACTGTATTGTGTCCTCTGGGTATTTTTTCATGGCACACCACCTGGGGCGACCCCCTAGATATGCATGCAATGCTTGTAATGTGCCATCACCCTTTTTCTCAAGGAAACGTAGTGTATATATTTTACTGCCTGAGTGCAACAACTGGCCTTTTCTCTCAAGGAGACTGAGTGTATATACTATACTGCCTGAGTGCATATATACTGTTACCCTGCACAGGGTTATTTACATATATACTGTACTGAGAGTACAAACAATACTGTGGCTGTCCTCGGGCGTTTTTTTTGACCCCCCAGCTATCCATGTCTACCGGATATTGTGCCTATGGTTAACGTGGGTGTCCTCTGATTGTCACTGCGCACCACCTGGGGCGAACCCCTGCTAATTATATGTGGGTCTGCTACGGCAGCAAATAATTTGTGCACTGAATGTCCCTCTGTGACGCACTAATCTGAAGTGATCGTGGTTTCAACTCAGGGTACAACGGTGGTACACCCAGTACATAAGAGACACTCCGGTCTCCGCTATCTTTCAAGGGTATCCCCCTGTTTTATCAGGTGAGAGGGCCCTCTGCATTTGCACACATTACTACTATACACTCACAGGCATTAATAAATGCATATTTTTTGGGTCACTATACCCTGGGCTCGCCCCAGTTGTACGAGGAGGCTGATACCTCTAGGTGATTACCCTGCCACTATTGCACCTCACTGTCCGTCACTGTTTCACACACAGGACAGTTCCAGACACGGAAGACACACCGCAACCGACCCAAGACTTCCAGGCGATAATTAACGCCGTGGTTGCGGCCTCAGTAGAGAAGGCTCTGTTACGAGCACCACCCCTACCCGAGCAAGACACAGGCCCACCTGATATGACGGAGGCCTCTGGCTCAGAACTGTTGAACTCCAAACGCCCCTGAAGGGTACAAGCCCCCCAGCCTCTAGAACCAAAAGGCAAGGCACTGGTTAAACGGCCCAAACATGTGGAACGGGATCTTGCTCCCCTCCACCACCTTCCTCAGATGAGGAGGACTATGACCCACAAGGTGATCTTAACGTTGTGGATGAGTGGTGCGAAGACGCCTCACTTTCGGATGAGGACGACTGGCAGGACCTACCGCAGTCATCCTAAAAATATGTCAAAGAGACCGTCCTCGGGGAGATGGACGGACACAAGCATGCCCGGAGGGTCCCAAAAGTTAAGACGGCCGAAGATGGTAACTTCTTGGACGTGCAGGAGTATCACTCTTCGACCCTCGGAATATTCGTCACAAAGAACTTGGGCCAGAAGCCAAAGGCCTACCGTTTGGAGAAGCCTTCATAACCGAAGTCAAGAGACACGTAAACCTGTTCACCACTTTAAACAAGGCACAAGCTTCCTGGAAACAGGTCTTCCGAGACCCACCTGGACGAGGTGGTTGTGGGCAGGCTGGTCGGCAGCAGAGCCGAGCCACCAGCCGCTCCTGGTCGGCGGGCTCCAGAACATACCCAAGGGCACAGTGCAATACATGTCGGAGCTCGGCGTTTTTCCTAAGCAATATCTTCCTAGTCAAGAAGAAAAGGGTGATTACTGACCGGTTATCAATCTGCGACACCTGAATTACTACGCGGTATACAGACATTTCAAGATGAAAGGTATTCATCTCCTACAAGATCTCCTCATCGCGAATGACTGGTTTGCGCGTACCTGTCAGTCCATATCGCCCTAGATTGTCGTTGTTTCCTCTGGTTCAGTTGGAGAGGACGTATATGCCAGTTCACATGTCTGCCTTTCGGTCTCAGCTCCGCTCCGTGGGGCTTCACGAAGCTGCTGAAGCTGGTGATGGCTCACATCCGAACCTCGGGCGTGCGATGTCTCGTTTATTTGGCCGATTTGCTGATTTCCTGGGAATCCGCATCCAGACTACGATTGCAGATGAAGTTTGTCGTTCACTTTCTGGAATCCTTAAAGGGTTTCGTGGTGAACAGACAAAAATCGTCTCTCTCTCCCGCCCAGTCAATACAGTTCCTTGGATTCGAGATTATTATTCCAACAATTGAGGCTTCGGAAACACCGTTGAGTCTGGATCTATTCGCGTCCCGGATCAACCACCAACTACCTACTACTACAGTTGGCTTCTGGACCCGAATTGCAAGGCAGTGGAAGCATTCCTGCAAACATGGCCAAAACAGGGGGCATATGCCTTTCCCCCGTTTTCCATGATTGCGAGGGTGATCCGACATGTACGGATCCACAAGATATCCCTACTGCTTATCACTCCCCCTTTGGCAGAGCCAGGCCTGCGTTATATAGAAGTCTCAGCTCCTATCCAAACATCGTTGGCGGGTCAGCTTCTGATTTCATGTGTGAAACCCCACGGCCCGGTGTCTACTACAACCTTGGCCAGATGGATTCGCTGGCCTCGAGTGTTAGCCGGTGTTGAACCATGGTTTGGGACTCACTCAGTCAGGGGTGCAGCCGCTTCACAGGTCATTGTCGGTAGGAGTTTTCCTGGCCGATATTATGCGTTGTGCAGATTGAACACGTGAAAGCACATTTAGAACGTTCTACTTTAGGCAGACTTCGCATGCCTCTTTAACTTTGGTTAATTCATAGCGTTAAAGATGCAAATAGGAAGCCTCCTGTCATGTGGTAAAATTGAAGATTATGCTAATTTTAGTGTACTAATAATCTTAATTTTAGTAATGACAGGAGGCGAGTATTTCCCACCCTATTGTTTTTTTTTCCCTCCCTTTGTGATGTTATTTTGTAAACGTTCTAAATGGTATCTGGTTTATATCGTCTATGATATTGATGTAACGTAGGTATATAGCACTGACTTTGTTAAATGAGTTACAGTTAGCATAACATGCATTATAGCTGTTGGTGTAATCGAATATACATTATATGCGGGCAACTTGCCACTTCAGAAACCTTTCACTTATTTATTTTTCTTTCAGCATAATTGGATACTGATCAAGGATGGACTCATCTTTCTACGTACATGTTTGAAGCTTCCATTGGTATTCGAATATTGTTGTTGGACTCCAAGTTGGACTGATATTATCGTTTAAATCTTTGTTCTTATGTTTTATTCTACCTGTTTATATCCTCGCTACAAAGAAAGAGGAAATTATGTTACTGTCAGGGCGTTTTATGTGCCATCTGACTTTTTTCTGATTAGTTGTTACTGTTTCTGTGCTGCTGGAGATTTTCAGTAAAGAGAGTTATGCAAATACTCGCCTCCTGTCATTACTAAAATTAAGATTATTAGTACACTAAAGCTTGCATAATCTTCAATTATATTTTATTAATACTGTTGTTTTACTTCAATTTTAAATTGTACTAAAAATATGTAAATGTAATTATGTTCATGATGATGTCGTTTTGGTGGCAATTTTAAAACCTCAATGTGAATAAAGCTCCCTTTATATACCCTTGCTTGTCAGGCTCATGTTCTTATTGTATTTTAGTTTCTACACGAAGAAGCCCTTGTAGGCGAAACGCGTATAGAAACCTTTTATATTACTTTGTTCACTAAAGGAATATTTTGGCTATTCAACTTGCAATACTCCTTTATTTAGTTTTTTTATATTTATTTTACTTTTGCCTGACATCCCTGAGATGCATCAAGAATCCTTAGGTGTGGATTATACCACCCATACGCTGTACACTGAGCAATGAGTCTGCTCTGCAAATTGTGAGTATTATTAATATACCTTTTAATCATACACTCAAAGATACAGAGAACACTATATCTTAGGATTACGCCACTGCAATTCAAGACATAAAGCTTGAAAAACTCCTTATATCCTTGAGTGGGGATTGTTCCACTTCACGCTTTCAAAACCAGAGCTGGGTTGTAGCTCTGGAGATTGTGAGTAATATTTTATTTATATACCCTCTGCACCTATTGTTCATATATACCATACCATTGGAGCCCTTTTATTTCTGTTTAATTTCCACATGTCCTGTTGAATCCTGAGTTTTATCCTGTGATACTACCACAATCAAAACCAGTCTGCTGTTTCATAAAGATCCTACTGCAGTATCTTGAATGATTTCACTAGGACTATTGTTAAGGCATTTGGACTTGCTTAAGTGATTGTTATATTTATTATACTTACCATACAAATTGATCTATTGTATATATTCCACTTCTATAGGCGCTACCTCATTGTATTTATTCTCCAACTAATAAACAATGTCTACATCTGAAACCGAATGCAAACATGTATTAACTATAGTCTGTATGGGGCCTGGGGTTTGGTACCAATGGAACTCTCTTTCCCTTGTAGCTTACCTGTTGATACCTGATACCTGATACCTGTTGACACCTTCAAGTCCAGACAGAGTGTATCAGTTTAAGAAAAGTGCAATATCTAAATGAACATGGACCACCTGAAGAAAATCATTCTGTATCTACACATTTCATCTCTACATTCATAGATAGACAGATACATACAGACATATCTACATACCTACATATGCATTAATGTCATGATCCAGCACTCAAACTTAAAGTTAAGTGTCATGGTGTGATTCTAACACACTAATACATAAATCACGAGGGAATGCACAAATACGCTGAAGTGTTTTTCATTAAGACATTTTTTCAGTCCAACAAACTGGACTTTCATCAGAATAGAAGTAGTTGTCATACATCAGATTTAAATATCCCAGGCAAACAAAACCAAAGTGAAAGAGCGGTTCCCCATCCTAGGTATGAGACCAACACTCCACCTCCATAACCATAGAAATCACCACAACTACCGTGAAGCGCAAGTGGAACTCATCCTATTAATGTGTATAGTGAAAAAATAAACTAATATGCGAAACACAGTTCTATATACCAGCCATCCGCAACAATCTTTAAAGCGGCACTGTCATGCCAAACTTACCTTTCCTCAATCTCTTCCTCTTCTCCCCCTCTCTCGGGATCTGTTATTCTTTTCTTCCTGTCTTCTTTAGTTTTCTTTAAAATCATAAGACAAAGTAGGGACTCTTTGCCTTATGGAGGATTCCTCCGCTTGACCAGCTCTGACCAGCGGAGGAGCAAAGTGTGCTTCATTTCCGCTGGTCAGAGCAATTTTCCCATGATCCCTAGCTTTCCTCTGTGATCTCGCGATGCTTCCTGTCATTTTAGCTAAAACTGCCGAATTGCGTTCTAACTGAATGAGAACAGTATGTTCGTTTCTTTTAGAACGCAATTCGGCACTTTGTTTGTGTCGGAATTTCATTCGAATGAATGAAACTCTGATCCTATTCATTGCCGCGGCTGCATCTTGCAGCCGCTTAGTAGATAACTCCCTAATTCCCACGGTATCAGTAGCTATCTACTAAAAGGCTGAAAGACCTAAATTGGTCTTTCAGCCAAATTTACTAATACTAAGTAAAGGGGGCCCTAATAAAACAATAAGGGGGGGGACCTACTGTCCTCCCCCTTGGCCCCCACCCCTAAGCGGTGGGTGGGGGCCCTAATAAAACAATAAGGGGGGGACCTACTGTCCCCCCCCCTGGCCCCCACCCCTGATTGGTGGGTTTAAGCCAATCAGAGTGCTCTGTGTCATTTTACACAGCGTGGGAAAGTTCTTTTGAATTTTCCCACGCTGTGTAAAATGACTCATAACACTCTGATTGGTGGATTAAGTAACCAATCAGAGTGTTATGAGTCATTTTACACAGCGTGGAAAAATTCAAAAGAACTTTCCCACGCTGTGTAAAATGACACAGAACACTCTGATTGGCTTAAACCCACCAATCAGAGTGTTCTAAGCCTAATTGCAGGGCGGGGCAAGGCTTTATAAGCCTTGACCCGCCCTGCGGAGCTCAGTACGCGGCGTGCCCTCAAAGGGCGAACATGGATTAATTTTTTTTTGCGCTCGTTTTTTTTTTTTTTTAAAGTGCGACGGGTATGATGGATTTTTATTTGGCCTTTTTGGGGGCTGAAGAAAGAAGATTTTAGAAAAAAGAAGACGTCAAATGGTAAGTTTAAATTTTTTTTTACAGGTTAGTTATTTTATTCCCCCCTCACTATTTTTAGGGTGAGGGGGGTAGGTAGGGGATAGTTTTTTTTTGGGTGGGGGGGTGACTAGGGGCTTGGGACCCCTAGTCACCTTGATTGGGGGGGGTGTTTCATTTAGGGCCCCCACCCACCGCTCAGGGGTGGGGGACGGGGGGAGGACAGTAGGTCCCCACCCTTATTGTTTTATTAGGGCCCCCACCCACCGATCAGGGGTGAGGGCCAGGGGGGGAGGACAGTAGGTTCTCCCCCCCTTATTGTTTTATAAGGGCCCCCACCCACCGCGCAGGGGTGGGGGCCAGGGGGGAGGACAGTAGGTCCCACCCCCCTTATTGTTTTATTAGGGCCCCCACCCACCACGCAGGGGTGGGGGCCAGGGGGGGAGGACAGTAGGTCCCCCCCCTTATTGTTTTATAAGGGCCCCCACCCACTGCGCAGGCTGCTCACTGTTTAGTAGACATGCCCCTACTCGCGGTATAGCGAGTAGGGGCATTTGGGAGATTTTAATCTCCCTTGTGCTATTATGGGGGTCATATTGACCCCCATAGAGTGAGAGGGGACCTGGGGGGGCTTATGAAGTGGTGGGGAGCACTTCTCCCTGCCGCTTCTATCTTTACATATTACAAGGAGGGAGCTGCGTGCCGGTAGCTCCCTCCTTGTAATAAACTGAACGAACAAACTAACACTGATACACAGTGTTAGTTTGTTCGTCTGACATTTCTATTCATTCATTCGTCTGTCTGATGAATGAATGAATAATAGATGAAATTCCCGTTCGCATGTCCAGGTGTTTCACTGGGCATGTGCGGGAATCTCACAGGCTATCTAGTGAGGGCTGATGACGTGTCCCACAGGGACTTCACCTACCCACACAAAGATGGCAGTGCCCTGAATATAGATCGGGGCAGAAAATAAAGATTTAAAAAGAGGTAATCTGGGGGGCTTAGGGGTATTTGGGGGTGACTAGTGGGTCAATTGGATGTAGTGGAGGCGGGAGGGGGGTTAAAAAACAAAACGGGATTCGGCATGACAGTGCCG